CACAGCTCTCAGGATCGCGCTGTTTCCTGACGCGGGCGCTCCAGACCCGTCGCCATTTTTGATTAATGAGTTTAAATGTAAATAGCTGCATGTGGCTGGTAATCACTGTATTGGACGCAGAGTTCTAGTCACTCCCTGCTCCATCTACCAACCTATTTCAGCCACATTTATTTCATCTGCATTACATTACATCTGAAACATCCTCAAATGAATTTAACTACTCAACACTTATGGATTCAGTGTTTTATTCTTTGGGTGAGAAATTTTGTATTTTCAGTGTGACTTTAGCCTTGAACAGTCTAATAATAATAACACTATGTAATATTTATTGAACACATTATGTGTTAGGTACAGTTCTAAGCACTTTATACGTAATAAGTCATTACATTAGCACAAGAAACTTACATGGTAACACAAGAAATTTACATTATAATAATCCCCATTTTATAGATGTATAAACTGACACAAATGCAGGTAAATTAATTTTTGCCTAAGTTCAAATAGCTAATAAATGGCTGAGCTAGGATTTTTTTTCAGTACACTAGCAGAAAGAGTTTTAAAATAGTCAAGACAGATTATTTTCAAAGGGCTATAATATTCAGATTTAACTCAAGTCAATCACTGGCCAGTTAAAATTACTTAGAAGCGTACTGTCCATAATTAAGTAATCTTACCTACTAATATTACAGAATAAGGATATCTTTAGGTGACATGAAATCTGTCATTTTAAGCATAACCCCAAGCCTTTTCCAGATTGCTCATAAAATTTCTCATTCTCTTGAGAAATGTGATCTCTAAGAAATAAATGTTTCTGTCAAGTCACAAGTAATATGAGCACATGATGAAAAAATGGAATTTTTGATTCTTGTAAGGGATATTGCAGTATTGTAAAATTGATTTTTTTCCTTGTTGTTTAAGTTCTCATGGTCATTTTAGGATTTACCCTCTGGATATAAAGGGAAGGTTATGATGCCTATTAAGGAGGTGGGGGACAGAGGCCTTTGGGACCAGAAGAGTATTTGGGACCAGAAGAGTATTTTTCATATGAAATTCTTTGTCATAAAATGCTAATGTTGGTGTTCTTGTCTTTATGTCTATGCATTCTTTAGCTATGAGGATAACAGACCCTTCATCAAGTAAGAATGACCTGAATGGCTGATAAATTCCATTTATCAGTGTGGTCCCATGAACCAGCTGTCAGATCAGTACTGAAAAATCATTAGAGCTTCTGTCATTCACATTGAGGCAGAAGAGCAAACTGTGCAGGAAAATAAGCTGGCACACAACTTTTATGCAGAGTAAATATGCTGCAGGTGTATTGCCAAAAAAAAAAAATTCCGCATCACCTCTGTTAATTGGGTATCACCTGAACTCAGTGCCACAGTAATAGCAATTTCCTGTGTTACAGACTTGTTTTGCTTTTAATAGCTTTCTCCTCTCATTGTGACGTGTTCTTCTGTGCTGCATATGTCCACATTTCTGTTCTTTGTTTGGGCATCATTCATCTAAAATTATTTTATGATTTAGTGGTATATCTTCATAATGATCTTATGGGTACGAAACCACCCAATTGCAATTTATATTAATGAATTGCTATATTAAACATCCAAAATGGAAAAAAATGCTTCATTTAAATTTAAAAAGTTAAATTTTACATATGTAATATTGTCCTTTTCAAATTTGACACCTTTTGCTTTATTAATGATCTAATAGTTTATGAATATATTAGAGTAGTTTAATCAAAGCTACAAGTCTGTACTAATCTAATAAATATAAATATTAATATGTGGGCATTTTTCCTACGTACATTTAAAAATGACATGTCCTGCAAGAATAAACTATGTTTGGAAATTTATGGGTGACCTTACTATAGACTTTCAGTTTGTTCTTCTGGTGAAGAGTCCTTTGTTTTCATTTTTTCCAATGCCATTTCACTTCTTCATGCTTTTGCTTATTATTTATTTATTTATTTATTATTTATTTATTTATTATTAGAAATTGGGCTCATTTCAGTTTTATATCATTTAACCCTTGGGCCCATCATGTGTTTTCTAGTAAATAATAGCTGACTTTATTGTTTTATCCTGTCATTTTATTTCTAAATCTAAATAGCATTTTGCCTTGATTTAATGGCAGTTCGTCCCATTTTTCCTTTATCCAATTTCTGTAAGAAGCTGAGAGCCTTTCCTTGAAAGTTCACATATTTTTTAATCTAGTTGTAGCATAAAATATTAATATCTAAGATGTTTTCTAATTTATATAAGCACTGTGTCACATGCAATGGCAAAACTCCTTTAGGGATTTTTTATTCAAGAATTTTGATGTTTTAAATTAAACATGTTAACTATAGTGGGCATTTTAATCTGAAATACAGAGGCTGATCAATGTAGGAGAAAAAATGTAAATATTAATTTTAATAAGACTTTATTGATTAACTACTTTGGGACCATATCTTTCTGAAGATGTAATTATCTCTAAAAAGCATATTGAACTCAGCTTCAGATTATGGTTAACATATGTGATTTTTTTTTCCCTTCACTTTGCAAAATTTCAGTCCTAATAAATATTTCTTCCTTACACAGTGTAAATGGAGGACAATAGTCTGCTGAAAAGAAACATTAGTTTGCCTTTTTCAAGGAAGGTGTGCTGGAAAAGAAAAAGGTGTATTTATGAGTTTATAGAGATTTCAGTTGGTTTTGTCCTGTTCTCCCGTACACTTAGGAGTTGAGAAGGATTCCATTTTCAATTTTTGGAGTCCCATCTGTTGGAAGAACTCATTTTATGTTGATAGTAAATTCATAACATAACCACGAATATATGAGCTTTTGTCACTTGTTCATTACTAGTCGGATGGCAGCTTAGAGGAAACTAAGAGAATGGAGTGAAATTGAGACTTTGTCTTTTATTTTGTTCTCCTCAGTTCATGTCACTACATCCCCATTCTTAGCTTTATCTTCTTCCTTGAGTTTGCAGGCACTTCAAAGAAATAATGGTGCTCTGAGCCTTTAAGAGTCTTTTCAACAAAGCTGCCAAGTGACTGATTTCCAAAATCTAGTCCAACCTAGAATATAGTGATCCAAAGGTCGAGAGAAAGTAGAACTACAGTGGTTCTGCTACAATGGAACCATTTTTTCCCATCTACTATACATCACACTTATTCTATGAAACTATAGCTATAGAAACAAATAAGGCTTCTTAAATTCATACATATACTCCAAGTACTGGTTCTGTCTAACATGAATTATGTTTTTGTCAGTAAACACTAAATTTTTTATGGAAAAAAATTTGGAAAAGTGGGATAAAAGTATATCCCATGAAGTTCTAATAGAGTTCAATTAAACAAATATTATACCAGTGAGACCAGTGGAGACTAACATAGCTCTGTAGAGTTTTCCCCTCTTGCCATTCACCATAACTACACCTCCATGCCATTTGCATATGTGCTGCAAATACATAAATAATTTATGGTACAAATCTGCTTCTGCTTAACTGAATTTGTGTGTTCATAACATTTTCATTCATGTTTATCTCCTCAAGCTTGAAAACTTGTGGTCCTCATTAAAATCTTGAAATGCTTATACCACCTGTCTTACATTTTCTGTCAATGAAACTTACCGTAACATTTTTTCACTGTCAGTATTGTTGCTATAAAATGATTGTGTTCATTAAAGACCAATAATTTCATAACCCTTAATTTTCTCTTCTCTCTACAGGTCATGGGTGATAGGTGCAATTGCTCTTCTCTGCCTGTTAGGATTGACCTGGGCCTTTGGACTCATGTATATTAATGAAAGCACAGTCATCATGGCGTATCTCTTCACCATTTTCAATTCTCTACAGGGAATGTTCATATTCATTTTCCACTGTGTCCTTCAGAAGAAGGTAAGCTAGAATTTTCTTTTCAAGAATAAATAGTATACATCTCATGATAGCAAAGCTACTATAACATTTTCTAATATATCATTCTTGATATGTTTGTCTCCAGGAAATAAATACATTCACTTTTTTATAATGGTAAAGACAAAAAAGGCACAAAATACAAGCATAATAGTTGGTGAGGGTCTTCAACAATTAAAAAAAAAAATTTCTGATTTGGACAGGGAACAAAAATTAATTTCTTATAAACTTTACCTTATAGCCTTTAATATTTTCATCAGCAGACAAATGCAATTTGTGTATTAGGAAGTAACTCTTTTCTAAAATGTCATGGAGGCATGATATACATTGTGGCATAGGACATATATATATATATGTTTTTCTGTTTATTTAAAAACTAGTTTACACTGGAAAATATAAATGTCTAGACATTTTATGGTTAAAAAATATACATTGATTTTTTTTAATGAAAGATGGAATACTTAATAATAGTCTCTGCTTATTTTAAAAGCATCTTTTATAAAATCTTTGAGTTGAATCATTAAAATGCAGTATTTAATTTTTATGTTGGTCTATTTTTGTAATTTTTCACATTTACAAGGACATAAGAGTATGGATTTTCAGTTTTAATTTTAGCAACTAAATATTTTCACTGCATTTTTTTCTAAATCCCAAGATTGATTTTCCAATCTTATATTTTTTAATTCTATTAAAAATGTGGTCTCCATAGCTCTGATCACTCAGACCCCTGAGCCACATTGCCTGGATTTGAATCTCAGTTCCTTTTCTTAAAAGCTTTTGTGAATTAATTAACATTCCCATTTCTCAATTTCCTCATATGTGACATAAAGGTGATAAAAATAAAAATTATTTTAAAATATTGAAAGAGATGGCTCTGAAAATGAAGTGGCAAAATGTAAAACAAACAAAAAAAACCCCCAAACCTATGATTTTCTTTTTCTTTCTTTTCTTTTTTTTTGTCTTTTTTCGTGACCGGCAACGGATCGCAACCCTCAGTGTCGCGCCCGTACTGGACCGGGACCGGCAACAGGATCGTTTCACTGCATTTTTTTCTAAATCCCAAGATTGATTTTCCAATCTTATATTTTTTAATTCTATTAAAAATGTGGTCTCCATAGCTCTGATCACTCAGACCCCTGAGCCACATTGCCTGGATTTGAATCTCAGTTCCTTTTCTTAAAAGCTTTTGTGAATTAATTAACATTCCCATTTCTCAATTTCCTCATATGTGACATAAAGGTGATAAAAATAAAAATTATTTTAAAATATTGAAAGAGATGGCTCTGAAAATGAAGTGGCAAAATGTAAAACAAACAAAAAAAACCCCCAAACCTATGATTTTCTTTTTCTTTCTTTTCTTTTTTTTTGTCTTTTTTCGTGACCGGCAACGGATCGCAACCCTCAGTGTCGCGCCCATACCGGACCGGGACCAGCAACGGGATCGCAACCCTCGGTGTTGCGCCCGCACCTCGCTCAGCCAGTGAGCAGCCGGTCTGTATGTGGGATCCGAACCCTTGGCGGGAGCACTGCCGCACTCCCAAGTGGCGCACTGTAGCAGTGTGCCACCGGGCCTGCCCATTCTTTTTCTTTTTTGAAAATAAAGATTAAAAATCTCTCTCTCTAGGATTTTTGGTTTGAGAGGCTGGTGAGACCTAAAACAGAAGTTGAGAAAGGTGTCCCCTTGTCAAGGTAGATAATAGAACAGAATTTTACTCTGTTTCAACTTTAGGTAGTTATAGGTATCTAAAATGTTTTGATACTGGAATCTAGAATCATACTAGAATAGTAATGATGAGTCAGGCTTTTAAATATAGATTACAAAAAAGAAAAGAGGTTATATTAGGAATGATGGATTCTAATTTAATGGGTTCAGATTCACCTGAGAAATTAGATTATATTAGAATGGGTGGAACCTTTCAAAATACTTAATGTATACTCCCCAAATTTCATAGCTTAACTCAATGAATGTTTATTTTTTACTCATTGCCCAATTGATGAGGGTACCCCATGGAAGGACACAGGCTTACAAAGGCTGAGCCAACCTCAGTATATGATTTCACTGTCATTGTGGGCGTTGATATCCAGCAGTCAGTCTGGGAAAGATAGAGAGGATCCTGTGTAAAAGATCTGGAAGTGGCTTATAGCCCTTCTATTCACTTTCCAGGAGATAGAGCTCTATCGATGGTACCACCGAAAGTGCAAGGAAACAGTCTACCCTTTTTAGATAGAAAGACGTGGAATTGGATGTGGTAAACAGCTAGCAATCTTCCAAACTTAATGTGTTTAAAGAGTAGAAAACATGAAATGGTGAGTAAGAATGGAGATAGAAAGAAGGAAGTGTCAGAGGAGAAGAATCAAATCAAGATGACACACTGAATTAAAAGTAGGAGAAAATGTCAAGGATAGAAACTGGTTGGTATGGTAAAAGACTTTGGAGAAGTCAGGGAGACAAAATAATTGGGAGAGATAGCTAGACTTGAGTAGAAGAATGTCATAACTGGTTCTCACAAGAAACATATACAAAAGGATGGGAGTGAAATCAGTAGATTAAGGGAAAGGGTGGCATTTGTCCATGAAAATAAGGGAATAGTGGGCCATCATAACCAGTCACAACATATTGAAGTATAGTGGATTGGATTTTCCTCATCTATATTTTGTACATTAATTGGAAATTGGACTAACATAAATTTTAAATTTTAAAGTTAATATAGAAATTTTCTACAGAACAGAAAAGAAATTTTTGTGCTTGATACATAAATTATTATTATTATTATTATTATTTTTGTCTTTTATCTTTTTCCGTGTCTGGCAACAGATCGCAACCCTCAGTGTTGCCCCCGCACCGGACCGGAGACCAGCAACGGGATTGCAACCCTCGGTGTTGCTCCCGCGCCTCGCTCAGCCAGTGAGCGGGAACCGGTCTGTATGTGGGATCCGAACCCTCGGGCAGGAGCGCCGCCGCGCTTCCAAAGCGGCGCACTTATTCTGTATGTGGGATCCGAACCCTCGGGCAGGAGCGCCGCCGCGCTTCCAAAGCGGCGCACTTATCCAGTGCGCCACCGGGCCGGCCCCGATACATAAATTATTTTGATCGTGGGTAGTTTTTAGTCAATACCTATTACAGTTTTTCCAATTATTATTTTTATTTTTATTGTCTTATCATAAACATATCACTGGCATAAGTAGGAATTACATTTGATATGCAGTTATTTTGCACCTCACAACCCAAAAATAAGTCTAGAGTTTTTAGTATATTTAACATATTTAATGTAAATTAAATTTTAAAATATGCAAGAATATACTCGTATATCATCAAGTTCAATTTTATGACTCATTAGAACAGAGTTTAGGAAGCTATAGCTCATAGGCCAGATTCGTCCAGTTCCCCTTTATTTTTACAGCCAGTACACCAAGAATGGTCATTACATTTCTAAATGCTTACATTTAAAATTTAAAGTAAGTTCATATACAGTATCCTTGGTTTTGCCCCTTGTGTCACAAAACCTAAAATATTGACTATATGGCCCTTCATGAAAATTTTTGTCAGGCCCTTATTTAGAAGCTTACTTTTAGGATTTACAATAACAATCAATAAGCATGTTATTCTTTCATCTATTCTGTATTTTGAATATTTGAATTTTGGTGGCGTTTTTATTTAGTGTCAAGAACATGGACCAATATCAGAAAATGTAGAAAATATGCAATCATTGTTTGCTTTTTTCCAAAAGAAATTACTGGTCTGAAATTGCAGAAATAGTCTTAGAAGTTTTGTTTTTGTTTTTGTTTTTTAAGCCATGTGATTGAATCTCACTAATAATATGCCCTTGTTAATGTAGTTGCTCATATAGTTTGATTAAAGAAATATGAAATAATCCATTTTTGAGATTTTTGGCTTTATAGAGTTATTCTTTGAATGATTCAACTCATTAACAAAAAATCAAACTTTGAGTTGTCAGTCCTTTTCCGAGTATCGATTGCAATATTATGTCACCAATATTTCCACTGGTGACATTAAAGTGATCACATTTTGCATTCATTATACACTCAGTTATGCACTCAATTTAATACTCTCAGAGCTTCTATAATTATTTTATTTCTGATCTGAGAGTATGGAAGAAACATTTCATTAGTAAGATATATTCTGTTTCCTGTCTTCTATATTCAACATCGCACTGAAATAAGATATGATCTGATTGAAGTAATTGAGATGGAGTACCATGTGAAATAGTAGATTAGAATATGCAAATGATTGAACAATCAAATAACAGTTTTATTGTAATCTAAAGAAAAATGTTTCATGGACATGGTCCATGTTTTTTTTCCTTCCTTTTCTTTATAAGACATATGCTTACTATTTCCAATCAAACCACAGCAAAATAGAGTCAGTATAGTGATTCAGTAAGTAATGTAGCTAATGTGTGACTTGGCATCACCAAATATCTTAATTGGCTGGTTGTTTATTTAATCAATTCAGAACATTTCATCTTTGTAAGAAAATGCAAATAGCCCATGATGAATTCCTGTGCCTTACATAATTTTGCTGCTTTTGTAACAGGAAGGGTAGTCATTATCTTTCTTTCTTCTCTTTCTTTCTCTCTTTGTACTAAAGTATTTGGTTAAGTTTAAATCATTTTATTAAAAAACATTTTCTCATCTAGAAAGAAAAAATATCACTTGCTTAGTACATTAGGAAAAACAAAGTGGATGCATGGGGAAGGTTATGATCAAAGTTTAGGTTCCTGGAGATGCTTTGTAAATTCAGGGCAAAAACTATGCTGTAATCGATAGTGCTTATCTTTGGTTAGAGATTATTTTAAGCCTTCTCAAGTTCTAACTAAAGCATTTGCCCTTTGTCTTTATTTTTTCCATGTACAAAAAAGGAGATAATCTAATGGATTACTTTAATAATAATAATAATATATATAATGCCTGTGGTGGTCATTTATCAGTGTTAGGAATATGGCATCTTGGAGCTTTCTGATCATAGAGTACCCATAAACTTTGGATTTTTCACATAACACACATCATCACTTAACCGTTTTAGTCTTTCAGTTTACTTTTTTTGCATAATCACTTCTATAGTGGTGTATAGATAAGTGTTCTTATCTGTAAAGTGAAGGTAATAATTATTTCCCAGAGTCATTTTGAGAAAGGTACATAGCACAGTTACTGGAAAATAATGATTAAAAATTCTAAGTTTTCCCATCTTAAAAACACAAACAAATGAGTATACACATTTCTATTTTAAAATAATGAAAACGTGGATTGGCTTCTAAACACTGAACAAAAGAATTATTTTTATTTCTAATTACTGATAAATGTAGCGCAGAAGGGATTGTTGCAAAACAGATTGATACAATTTTAAATATATTAAAAATAAGGAATTTGGCATTGTAGAGAAAAGTTTTAAAGGCTGGCTAGCACATCGTAACTCTGTTTGCTCGTATTGTTCTCCACGCCTAGAATGTCTTTTTCTCTCATCCTTTCTTTTAACTTCACCCTCTAAACTGACTTACAACCTATCTTTTGAAGATTTCACTCGGAAGCTTTTTTTGCTCAGCCTTCCTTGATTCCCTCCCTACCCCACCGGGCACTCTTCTGTGCTTTGAGTCACCGTATCTCTATTATCATTCTTATTATATAATAAGCATTCAATAAATATGAATTCTTTGAGCAAGTCTGAATATATTCTTTCTTTGATTCTGCTATGCCTTTGAAAGAATGAACTTTATAACAATAAGATATAATGTTTCAGTTTCAAATACTAATTCAGAAAAATAATTTAATGTATCATTCACGCTTCTTTTTGTCTTTGCTTCTAAAAACATTCCTTTAAAAGCATGTATTTATAACTCTGTTTTAAATAAAATTACATTGGAATATTACATTGTCATAAACTGGAAATGATGAACTCATGTGAAATCAAACATATAAAGGGCTAAGAATCATGTATGTAATGTTCTTTCATGATGTAAATTGGTAAATATATAACCAATGCGATAAGATGTTCCTTTGTTGTTGTTATTGATAGTGGAGGTATGAATGAGTTAGGGCAGTTACTGTTTAGTTTTTTATGCTTTGTTCAATTAAATAGGCAGTAATAACAATTTTAAACATTATAAAAGTATCTCCCAAAATTGTTGATATATTTCCTTGCTTGAAAACATCAACTAAATATGTTTATCTTTTGTGATTTTATGCTATGACTAGGATTAAGAATTTAATCAGCAGTACTATAAAGAAAAACAATTATATTTTTCTGTAATCATTGAATAGGACTATTTTGAAGGAATAAATTTAAAATATTTTGTTTTTTTTATTCTAAAGTTGCAAGTTTGACTACTTTTAAGAGAAATAAAGTTAAAGCAACATAGATTTAAAGGAAATTCTCAGTCTAACATATTCCTTTTTTGTCTTTAGATTTTCTCTTATCTTTCTCTTTCCTTCCCTCCGCCCCTTCCTTCACCCCACTCTGTTAAACTTTCTCACTAGACTTCTGCATGAAAAATAATATTTACCATACCCTTGTACCATAGGCTACTTCATATCAAATTCATGAGGCTAAAAATAGTGTCTTAAAGAGTTTTAAGAATATGTTCTTTGAACTAAGAGGTAGTACCACTGTGATGTGATTGGCTCTGTCTGTGTGTGTGTGTGTGTGTGTGTGTCTTAAAAGCCTTCAGTTATGCAAAATTTCAAGCTTGGTAGTATGAATACAATTATTATTATTTTATAATTATTTTATTTTATAAAGTATATGCTGAGCAGAATTTCTTATATCTGTAGGGCAAGGAAATAATTACATTATCTACAAATAAAACTAACATACATTTTATACCTTAGTTTCTAGCTGAAATGAATTTTTTGCTAACAGGAGTTAATATTTAATTGGCTAGGTACGAAAAGAGTATGGGAAATGCCTGCGAACACATTGCTGTAGTGGCAAAAGTACAGAGAGTTCCATTGGCTCAGGGAAAACATCTGGTTCTAGAACTCCTGGACGCTATTCTACAGGCTCACAGGTAAACAATATTTGTTCACTGAAATTAAATATCTCTTACCTGTACTCTGTTATGAGTTTCTGTCTTTTCTGATCAGTGCTGTTTTCTATCCCAAATGTTTAACACGTCAGGTTTATTGTTGTTTTAGTGTGTTTCACATGGGAATGATTCTAACAGAAACTGAAGAAACCAAATTTGTAATAAGATTATGAAATTTAGGGTCTAAGTTTGCACAGTAATGAATGACTTCATATTGTTGCTAGTTAAATGAGTATGGCAGGTGAAGAAAGGAATTTGCTACGTCATCCAAAATTCGAAGAAAGTAATATTTTATATGTTTGATTGTTGAGTTAATTCTTTTTACCAATGTAGTAATTCTCTACCATGTACTGAAACAATTTACATATAAAGTGGTATGTTTAGTAAAAACAATTATAACTCAAATGAACAAATTATAGATGCTCAGTAAATGGTGGCTGCTACCATTTATTAGTGTTGTTATTACAGAATATAATTTCATATATATTTTAAAGCTGTATCATTTTTTCTTTTGTAGTTTGTAACAACACAGTTGTATTCTTGGAAAAAAGTTACATTGTTTTTTTATACTTAATGTAATGCTAATTCTGATTAATTTTGGCAATTGAACCTTACGTAAAATGGTAATTTCTTAAATCCAGTTGATTTGTTTCGGTGAAACTAATAAATATATTTCAGAATAACTGTGACCTTCAATAAACAAAGGCTAAATTTAATTCAGTGACATTAAGGCAAAATTTGGGAAGTATGGATGCAATTTTCACATCAGAGAACTTCTAAAATAACAATCTCTATATATTTCACTTTTTTATTTAAAATATGGAGTGCCTCCTGTATAATGCCAACAATCTTCTAAGCTCTGGGGTTAAAATGGTTAAAACACATATAACTTCCTCTGTGCTCTGGAGCTTTCATTCTAGTATTGGGAGACAGAAAATGTATTAACTAACGAACCAACAGAAACGATCAGATTGTGAAAGCTGACAGAGAATCAAAATATTGATATAAAGTAGCCAGGAGGCTGCTTGAATTAAGTGCTGGAGAAAGACCACCTTTGGAGGCGATATTTGTGCCAAGGGATGAATGACAAAATTCTGAATGAGAGGAGGAAGAGAGAGGTTCAGAGGAAGAGAATTTCGGGTGAGAAAACAGCTAATACAAAGCACTTAAAGTAGGGGAGAACTTGCAAATTCAGGAATAGAAAGAATGTTATTTGGCCAAAGTAGGTCAGAGAATGAAAGATGAAGTTAAAAGAAAAGGTGAGAGGCAGATCCCTAGGTATTTGTAAGAGTACATTAGAAAGCCAATGGGATGATTTAGAAAAGGAAGTGACAGGCTATCATTCACATGGAAAAAGATGATGTGGCTACTACAGTATGCAGATAATGGGGGCGTGATTGGCAAGACTAAAAAGTGAAAATCCTCTCCACTTGCTGCTCCCCCATACTTACGTCCTGGTGCTAATCATTTTTGCAAGGTTGGTAATTTGCATAATCATGCAAAGATACTCACACATATATGTATAGGGTTTTTTTGGTAACTGTGGACTGGGGATTTTCCTTCTCAGTTTGACCTTCCTTTAATTGGTCTGTCATTTATCTTTCATTTGTTTTATCGACTTTTTAGATGTATTTACTTTTTATTATATAATATTTGAAAAATAAGGGAATATATGTAATATATGAAATTGTGAAGCATGTTAATAAAATGAACACCTGTGAACTCAACATTCACCTTAGGAAATAGAACATTTTCAGTGTTTTCCTCTTCATTCAACCTCTCTAATCAATCCTTATGTCTCACCACCAGAGAAAACTTCCACTTTTGTTATATCAAAAGTGGAAGTTATTTGTTTGACTTATTTTAATAGTTTTTCCCCATCCAAAAAAAGTTTAGTATGCCTTTCCTTTTAAAATCTTTCTTTAAAATGGTATTTTATTGTATGTAGTCTTCTATATGTGACTTGTTTTTTTAATTCCCATATTTTAAGATTCATCCTGGTCCTTTTCATAAAAATTAAAGCTTTGTGCTGCATATTATATATACCTTTTTCTCTCCCTGCAGTACTTTTCCCTTTCCTCCTTTTCCTATTCAACTATTATTTGTTATGGTATAGTGAGTTGTTAACCTCTTAGACTCTGGAGCCAGATGATTGGATTCCAATGCTGATTATGCCAATTATCATGTCTGTGATATTGGACATGATAGTTAACCTTTGTGCTTCAGTTTTCTAATTCATAAAAGAATGCTTACCTCATAGGGTTCTTGTGAACTTTCAAAGAGTGAATACGTGAAAAGTACATAGTGTAGAACCTAGAACATGTAAAGAATCAATTGATTAATATGCATACATGTACAAGTGTATTATACAAAGGTACTTCAAAAATTTTATGGAAAAATAGAATTAAAAGATGATGCAAACCTTTTCATGAACTTTTTGAAATACCCTTGTATATACATACATAGATAATATATACTATTTACTACATTCCAGTCACTATTTCAGGTGCTTGACACATCAATGAACAAAAAAAGATAAAAATTCTGTTTCTGTAGATCCTCAAGTCTAATGCAGGCAGTAGACATTAAATGTGAATATAAAAAATAAGTACATTACATAATATGGTATTACAAAATATATTAATGACTGGGTTGGAAATAGGGTAAAGGAGGTTGAGATTGTGAGTGGATTGGGTGGGTATAATATAATTCTACATAGGGTGGTCAAGTTAGGCCTCTTTAAGGAGAAAATATTTGAGCAAAAAGTTTACAAGATGAACAAGTTATCCATAACTGTATCTAGGAGAAGTGCACTCTAGGCAGAGAAAACAACCAGTGCCAAGCCCTAAAGTGGAAATATGCCTCACATGTTAAGGAGCAGCAAAAAAAAAAAAAAAAAAAAAAAAGGGTGGCTAGAACTGATAGAGGAGACTAATAGGAGACAAGGTAATAGAGGTAGCTTCTGTACATGTCACCTAACAACAATAACTCCATCAAGTCTCACTAAGACATCATTTCTTCAGGGTATTGTTCTCAGACTTCCTAGTCAAAGACATATTTCCTAGTATATGCGGTTTTTCAAATCTTTTTTTTAATAGTGCAGTATAACAAATATTTACAAAAGTACACAATACGTAAGTATATGGCACAATGAATTATTACGACTCCCCAAGTCAAATATTAGATTGGGAGCACCTCAGAAACTCTTTAAGTCCCTTTTGATCATTAGTCTCCAACATAATCACTATATTAACTTTAACAGTACATTTTGTTTTGCATGTTTTTGATACTTATTTGCATGAAATCGTACAGTATATATTCTGTTATGTTTTCTTTCTTTCCCCAGACATCTATGTTGCTGCAGAACGCTATGTTGCTTTTTTATTTTCATTGCTATATATTATGCTATAATTTATTCATCCATTTATCATTGATAGTCATTTGGGTTGTTTATAGTTTTCAGCTATAGTATTTAATGTTTCTATGGAGATTTGTGGGCACATTGTTGTACTTTTGCACTTATTTTTGTGATAATTTAATCAATCTGTCACTTTCTAGTCTAGGAGCTCCACGAAGGCAAAGGCGTTTTGTGTTTGCATTTCTCCTTTGTATTTCTTATGTTAGTATTTTGCAGGCAGTAGAGAGTAACTAATATTTTTAAGTTAATTAATTAACTAATAAAACAAATGTGAGAGACCTGCTTCTAGCATTGTCCTTTTATTAGTTTTGCTGTGTGTGTGTGTTTGTGTGTGTGTGTGTTCACATCTAGGGAAAATGTGATGTGCAACAATATTTCTGAAGGATAACATGTTCCAAGATTCATAAAACCAATTGTGTAATATTCTAAGATTAGCTACTCGTATTATTCAGGGAGTTCAAATATAGTTGGAACATATAGCCCATTTGTGAATTTGGTTCCACCATTAATAGTAGAAATATTTCTTGTAACTATTTCATCCTTGGAAAAGCTTCTGAAAATATTTTGTTTCCTCCTCACAAGATTGGCAATACTTTTTTTGATCCCTAACTCAATAAAATGGCAAAACAGAATAAAATGGGGAAAAAAATCCCCCCTACCAATGGAAAAATATTACAATACTTTCTTGAATTATCTGACTCTTGGATATTGGAATTTAGGAATATAAATCATGATGTAAGAAAAGAATTTTCAGTTATCTATAAAGCCTCCTACTGTGAAGCAAAAAATAAGGGTAAATTGACTACCTTTATCTCTTCAAAAGAAAGACTCGGGATAGTCTGTAATCTCTAAAATTACTTTGGTCTTCTTGTAAAAGTTATGGGAAATGTAAATTCACGTAATATATAAATAATATTCTATGTTCTTCTCTTACCAAACTCTCCATTGCAAGATTCTGAATTCTTAAATTAAAACTTTTATTAATAAAACTGACAATTTAATACATATTTAACCATTCCCATTCCAATGAAAGTTACAATGAAAATAGCATGTTTTATCCTGGAAACTAAAATTTTCTAATTCTAACTATCTAGAGTACACTTCCATATGTCTTCAACATATTTAAATTGGTATAACACTTTACATTTATTCCTTTTTCATAGTGATAATTATCTTTGATATAGTTTTGGGAATACACTAAAGATAATAAAGTATTATCATTAGTTTTATTTCTGACATTCTCACGCTACTGTACTGTTTGCATGTAGAAGTTATTTATTTGCCAGTTACTATAAACAGCGGTCTCATATAACTATGACAGAAAGAAAAAGAATGCTTTGTGTGAAAATTCACTGCCTCATGAGTTTATCCCCTTTCTTCCTTTTTCTCTACCCAGAGCCGAATTCGTAGAATGTGGAATGACACAGTCCGAAAGCAGTCAGAGTCTTCCTTTATTACTGGAGATATAAACAGTTCAGCGTCTCTCAACAGAGGTAATTAGAAATGATTTTTCATATTTATTGCTTTTCTGATTACTTTAAGAAGTTCTTAAATACATTGCTTTATTTGCAATTTCTGAACCTTGTTCCACGTGATAGGAATATTGCAAGGATATAAAACCTAGTTGAGTGTAGCAGGATGTTCCATTATTCATAAGCTTTTCTTTTTTTTTTAATCCTGAATTTTCAGGAAATCTTTTCCAAAAGGAAGTTAGAAAACTGCTAGAAACTGGTGAGCTGTCAGGCCTCATTGGAATCAGTGAAAATGGGCAATTACATGACTATAGAGTCTGCTAAGCATCATAGAGTTCCACATTGTCCTAGGTATAAAACAATTTCATAGTCTTTGTGGAAGTAAAAATATACTGTTTAATACATACTTAAGGCAACCTGTGTACTTGGGGAAAAATCACATCTAATCTTAATATGTAACAGACTTATTCAGATAATATTGGATATTTAAAGATGTAGGAGAAAAAAAGTACTTTTATTTATATCATGTTTTTTTATGTAAATGTACTTCTGGTTAAAATGCATTCCAGGCATCATTTAGATTCTGAAATGAAGTTCCCTTAATCTGCTGTTTTGTTTGTGTGGTCAATTTTTTTTCACCTCTCTCTCTCTCTCTCTCTCTCTCTCTCTCTCTCTCTCTCTCTCTCTCTGTGTGTGTGTGTATGTGTGTTTGGAATTAATTTGACTGCAGTAAAAATAACTAGATGCAACATTTGTTGAGAGCAAAAGTGTACTATAGTCGGTGTTGGGAAATATTTAGAATTTAGGTTTATTTAGGAAGGTGGTGTTTATGTGAACTTAGTTATTTTTATGATCAGCATTTTTTTCTTACCCACAAACTAGAATTATTAGTTTCTTTTCAACCTGTTTCTGTCAGCTTTTTGCTGTATCTAATGCTACATAGAAACAAATAATGGTATAATTATGGTTTATGATTAAGAAAGATTTCAGATGCTGGTGCTCTTTATTCTTACTCAAGTAAGTGGCATTTTATTTATAAAAAAGAAGTTAGGACAAATGGTGTCCAAATTGAATTTGTTACAGGGATCCTTGTTTTAATATAATCTTAATTGAGTTTCGTATGTTATTTGGGGCCACAAGGGAGTAACTATAACCTAGTGATGATTTTAAATTATCTACATTACTTCTGCTTAAGTAAGAAAATTAAGTGGGAATAGTACTCCATATATGAAGATACATCAAAACAAAACAACTACCTTTTCATATTTTGTATCATTATTAGTTTGATTTTATTTGCTAAAGTAATCTCATTTAGGCAATCTCTATAAAGTGTTCTTCTGTTTTTCAATTTAGTTTTAATGTTTAGTTTGTGAGAATTTATTTTAATATGAGTATTCTAACTTTTTGACATTACTTTCCAAATCAAAGAGAACTAATTACTTTACAAATTACTTTCCAAAGCCTAGGAACTAATTTTCTCCGATAGTGACTAATTTTCTTTATTCTTTAAAAAATCCTATATAGAGAGAATTTATGGTACATTTTTGGAAAGAAAAAAAATTGTTTTTATCAATAGGATTTATTGTCAGGAGATTGTATCTAACAATCAAAGCAGCCATAGGATAATTGCTATTTAAACAAAGGATGAGATAATATGATTTTAATAATGTGTTATTTGCCTATTGTAAAAATGGACAAAATATGTAAAATTATTATTTGTTTATTATTGTGACCTAAATTTATGTGAGGATAGTAAGATATGTAACTACTAAAAGCTTGCTTTAAGTGGATAATTTTGTATGACTTTAAGGTCAATCATATAATATTGCTATTTAGTTTCTTCCTTTTTAATTCCTTCTCAAGAAGTCCATCAAGGGCCGGCCCAGTGGCGCACTGCTACAGTGAGCCGCTTGGGAGCGCGGTGACGCTCCCGCTGAGGGTTCGGATCCCACATACAGACCGGCCGCTCACTGGCTGAGCGAGGTGCGGGCGCAACACCGAGGGTTGCGATCCCGTTGCCAGTCCCGGTCCGGTACGGGCGCAACACTGAGGGTTGCGATCCGTTGCCGGTCACGAAAAAAGACAAAAAGGGGAAAAAAAAAAGAAATCATCTGAGATATACATTAACATTTATACATAAAGGGCTGAGCCCGTGGCACGCTCGGGAGAGTGCGGCACTAGGAGTGCAGCAGCACTCCCGCCGCGGGTTCGGATCCTATATAGGGATGACCGGTGCACTCACAGTGCTCACTGGCTGAGCGCGGTGCGGCCGGTCTCAAAAAGGACAAAAAATAAATAAATAAATAAAAACATTTATACATAAAGATGTGTCAGAATATTTCAATGGAAAATTGGAAACAACTCTAACAACTAGAGATTGAATAAATTATGAAACATCCATGATATGCAGCTATAGAAGAAAATTTAATGAGTTGGAGAAATGTTTGACTTCATTAATTTTTTTTTATTGGGATATAGAGATATGTGGATGATTAGGTCAATTTGAAATACGTTTAAAGAAATAAAAATATTTTTTATTGATTGGTCATATATTTAAGTCCATTTATTAAAATCTCTAGTTTTATAAGGTATTTCTTAAAGCTATTGAAGAAAGGATATAAAATTTCTTGACATTGAATAAGTTACTTTAATGATGACTTTGGGGAGGGGGTTAAACTGAATTTATAATTTCTGGTGTGCCCGGGGAGTGATCTTTTTCATCAGGATATATACTTTTCCTTTCACTTAGTGACTTTAATGGTGCTGGAAACCACGGTGATCTTTATTTTCTATATTAATTTCCTAGCCCCCCAAGTCCGAAACTCCTAGTTTTATTTTCATCTCATTATTTTTTTTATCTTGGATAAGTAGAGTACTTTAAAATTTTATTTCTTCATATAATATCTCTGAGTATAGTCTTTAACCTCCTTCTTTAATCTTGTCTTATTTCCCAGGGTCCTATCTTCCCTGCATTCAGGCGTGTGTATCATATTTAGGTAGGTGACATACAAGATTCATCTTTCCAGATAAACACTTCAGTCACCTCAGCAACATAATTATTCACTTCTGTTTATTAAAAAGATTATATTCTCTATTATTAAAATGAAAACCTTAGATTCTGCATCTCACATCTTCATATATTCTGACTTCCCATTCATTCTTAGTTGCTTACAGTTGGCAATTTTTTTTTAATTCAAACTCCATTTTCCTTTCTTTCTAAGTTAGATATATTAAAGCTCTTATTTTTGTCTCTAAAATAATTCTGGCCCTTGAAAATTACAAGCTGTTGTCTAAAATTTAGTCCTATTTTTACTTTAGGTTTTCTTTCTTATTCATAACACTGCCCAATTTATCAAGAGTATTATTTAAAAATTTTGTATGTCTTATCTTCTATCCTTTCAAACAAGAATCTATCATTATCACCTTTAGGATCCATTAAGAATAAAGAATCTACCACACAGTGGAGAACTTCTTAGCAGTTTTTATTATTTTAAACCATCTCTAATATTCTGTTCTTGAACCAACTTGTTGAATAATATGTATCCAGTTACCTTTCTAAATTTCCCAATGTGATAAACTTGATTACTATTGGGATTTTACTCCTTGGAATCATGTGAATCCTTGGAAGATTTATTGATAATTTTCATGAGTGTACTGATTCTTATATGTTCTCTCTGGGAGATTGTTGTTTGGTCATTACATCTCTTTCATTACATCTGTATTTTGAATATCTATTTTTATGAAGGTATTTCCTGAAATGTTCCCTGTGCATTTTCAAATATTTTCCCCTGCCAACTTATTTGGTACCATGTTAACATACTCAGGCAAATCCAGAATTCCTTGAAGCCAATACCCCAGCACTACTATGAAGTTAACTTCACTGATGCTACTGTATACACAGGCAGACAGAGCTTTAGAAGAACTGACAGGTGGTTGATTACAGAGTTTCAAAAAAGGTTAACGGTGAACCAAATCCAATTTTTTACAAACTTGTAGGACTGCAGGAGAATTTATTCATTGATTCATTTAAATATTTACTATTTTGCACATATCTTGAAGGTATAGTCAGTGTTCAAATCCCAAGCTCCTCCCAGGGCTACTGGAAATCTAATTCCAGTCTCTAGGAGCTCCAATTTCCTGTTGGTGGTGGAAAGGACTTGTAACTGGAGTAAACTTTCCCATGAATATCTCCTTCCTGTAATCTCTGCTAGCCAAACTTCATCTAGAACAATTTAGATTAACAGTGCCTCTAAAACTTGACTTTGATCCAAAAATGAAGTGTTTGCTGAGAATTTCTCTGGCAGTTCGATTAATTGTTAAACATTTCCATTCTTGCAGATCTATAGAGAAATAAGGATACTTTCTAAAATTACATTTTATTAGGCTTTATCTCATCATACATATTATAATTGCATTTCCCATTTTCTTTTGATTGAATTAGATTGAGGTCAGAAATTTCTGTTTAAAATCAGGTTTTGCTAGGTAGCTCCTACTAATATAGTATCTTTGTGTTGTGAATTACAAAGAGGTGGCCTACTTTCCACCCCAGCCATGGACTTATTGTAAAAATATGCTCCCTCTGAGTGGAAGAATTAAAGAAAGAAAACAAACAAACAAACAAACAAACAAACAAAAAACAGGCATTTCTTCTTCTGGAACAATGGCTTGACTAACATCGTGGTTTTTTTTATTTACCCCAATCCCCATCCTCCATCTCGTCAACATCCCACACAAGTTAATGTGATTTAGATTTTTATGTATGGAAATCTGATCAGTAAGGCTATCTATTTAAGCCAAATTTAGGTTTATGTCAGAAGACTGATCTGTAGATATGTAGCACTTATTTATTAATGTTCCTGGATTCTCTTTTTAGGGTTCAGATTCTGCACACGTATTCTCAGTAAATTTATGCAATCGGTAAAATTATGATGGTCTCTGACAGGGCATTTATTTTCATAGATTTTTAAGGGAAAATTTTGGCTCTAAGCTAGTGGCAAGACTACCTACTGAAAGGTGACCTC